AATAATAATAATAATAATAATAATAATAATAATAATAATAATAATAATAATAATAATAATAATAATGACCAGCCCCAACTCAATAAAGATTAACTAAAAATAATAATAACCAGCCCCAAAGGCTGTGAATCTCAATAAAGATTAACTAAAAATAATAATAACCAGCCCCAAAGGCTGTGAATCTCAATAAAGATTAAATAATAATTATTTTGTCGATAAGAAAGACAAAAAAGTCTGGATAGTGGATGTGGCAGTGCCTGAAGACAGCAGAATAGAAGAGAAAGAACTGGAAAAGATAACAAAAATACAAAAACCTACAAATAGAAATAGAATACGACTATGGCAAAGGCAAGCAAGGGTAGTACCAATAGTAATAGGCACCTTGGGTGCAGTCCCAAAACAACTGGAGCACCATTTGAACACCATAGGCATTGACAAATTTGCCATCAGTCAATTGCAGAAGGCAGCTTTACTTGGAACAGCTTCCGTCCTGTGGCGATATCGGTAACCCCATCAAATATCCAGATTTGCCTATCCCAGGTCCTTGGGAAGGACTCAATAGGTAGACAAAAATGCCAAACCCAGTCTGAACATCTGGCTGACGGTGCAATTAATAATAACAACAATAATAAATGCTATCCCACTCTCACATGACCTGATGGTTTTCTGTGAGAAATTAGCATTTATTTCCAGTTTCTGGCAATGAGTGCAATGGGTTCAGCATTCACTTAAAAATTGTTGCAAAAAAAAAAAGTTGTAAAATTAGGCCAAGCCTGTGATGACCTGCTTAAGGACAGGTAAGACTTACAACCACAATTTTGAGTTCAATTATGATTGTTAAGTCAAGGAATATCTGTACAGGTAGTCTTCGACTTACAAGAGTTCACTTAGTGATCGTCTGAAGTTACAGCAGCGTTGAAAAAGTGATTTATGATGTTTCACACTTATGACCGTTGCAACATCCCCATTGTCACGATTTACATTCGGACGCTTGGAACTGACTCACACTTATGACAGTTGCAGTATCCCAGGGCCACACAAACCCATTTTGCAAACTTCTGATCTATGGGTAAGTCTATGGAGAAGCCAGACTCAACTTAACCATGTTAATAACTTAACAACTGCAGTGATTCATTTAACAACTGTGGCAATAAAAGTCATAAAATGGGACAACTCGCTTAACAACTGTCTCACATAGCAGTAGAAATTTTGGGCTCAGTTATGGTTGTAAGTTGAGAACCACCTGTATTGTATTTTGTTTCAGGCCTTTTGGAAT